TTTGTTCAGTTTCTTAGCCCATTTATTGATTGGGTTATTTGTTTTTTTAGTTCTTTATATATCCTGGAGATGAGTGCTCTATTTGATGTGTGTGTAGTAAAAAATTTGCTCCCATTCTGTAGACTCTCTTTTCACCTCATTGTTTTTTTCTTTTTCTTTTTGCTGAGAAGAAGCTTTAGGAATCTTGTTAAGGAAATCAGTGCCTAATCCAATATGATAAATATTTGGGTCTACTTTTTCTTCTATTAGATGCAGGGTCTCTGGTCTAATTCCTAGGTCCTTAATGCACTTTGAGTTGAGTTTTGTGCATGGTGAGAAATAGGGGCTTAATTTCATTTTGCTGCATATGGATTTCCAGTTTTCCCATCACCATTTGTTGAAGAGCCTATTTTTTCTCCAATGAATGTTTTTGGTGCCTTTGTCTAGTATAACTGTATTAATGTGGGTTTGTATCTGTGCCCTTTATTCTATACCATTGGTTTACAAGTCCATTTTGGTGTCAATACCATGTTGTTTTTGTTACTATTGCTCTATAGAATATTTAAGGTCTGGTATTGTGATGCCACCGGCTTCACTCATTTTGACAATATTAATTCTGCCTATCCAAGAACAAGGGAGATCTTTTCATCTTCTAAAGTCTTCTTTAATTTTGATATGTTGTATCAGTATTCTCATTTACCTCTCTAGCGTTCTGTAGTTTTCATAGTAGAGGTATTTCAAATCTTTTGTTAAATTGATTCCCAAGTATTTTTTTTTGAGGTTATTGTGAATGGGATAGTTTACCTAATTTCTCTTTCAGAAGATTCATCACTGATGTACAAAAATGCTTTTGATTATGGGTGTTGATTTTATATTCTGCCACTTTGCTGAATTAATTTATTAGTTTTAGAAGTTTTCTGGTGGAATTTTTCAGATCTTTCTAAGTATAGAATCATATATATTGTTGGCAAATGATGATAGTTTGAGTTCTTTTCCTATTTGTATCCCTTTAATTTCTTTGGTCTGTCTAATTACTTTGGCTGTAATTTCAAGGACTTTGTTAAATAGAAATGGTGAAAGAGGGCATCCCTGTCTTGCTCCAAGTTTTAGAGGGAGTGCTTTCAATTTTTCTCCATTTAGAATGATGTTTGCCTTGGGCTTTTACAATGTTGAGGTATGTTCCCATTTTCCCTAGTTTCTAGTGTTGTGAACATGATGGGGTGCTGTGTTTTGTGGAATGCTCTTTCTGCATCTATTGAAATATTAAAAAGATAGTGTACCATGGTCAAATGGGGTTCATCCCAGGGATACAAGGTTGATTCAACATATGGAAATCAATAAACAAAATTCATTACATCAGTAGACTTAAAGATAAGAATCATATGAGGAGATTTTTCAGAGGAGTCCATATCTCATATGCATACTTGAAAGATGAACAGGAACCTACCATGCAAGAGTAGAGAGGGTGCAGTATCCACAAGAAAAAGGACAGAAGACATGGCTGGAACCCAGGAATGCCTTAGGGAGTGTGGAGAGAATCTTGGGGAGGAGCTGGGAAGAGCTGTGTTGGGGTTTTGGGATTGTATCCTTAGTCCTTGGAGGCAAGTGAGAATATAATTCAGAATAGTGGTAGCATGGTGTGTGATTTTGAAAAAAATCACTGGCCACATGGTGAGAAGGTCGACAGGGGAAAGTTGGAGGCAGGAAATCACATAGTGGGCTGTTGTGATGATCCAGATGGGAGATGGTACAGACACCAGTAATGAGGGTGAGCATAGGAAGAAATTGGTCTGCTTTGAAAAAGTTAGAAAATAATGGGTTTGATTTCTCTGTGCATGTGTCTGTGTTCATGTGTAGGATGAGGGGTGTGGAAGGAGGGTCCACTGAGGAAGAGGGAAGATCTAGAATAACACCCATGTTTCTGGTCTCGTGGTGGGGTGGTGGGTATGGACACACTGCTGAGGCAATAAGACAGTCAATCTCACTGGGACAAGTTCATTCTGAAGAGTCTGTGAGTCAAGTCTCTGTGGACCGAGGGCAGGTGGACACAGAAAGCTGAAGTTCAGGAAAGAAACTCGGCCTGAGGTGACTGTCAAGAAAGTACTAAGGAAAAGGGTGGTAAAAGGAAAGACCCACAATAGTGGGTTTCTCTCATGTTCCTGCTTATTTTACATGGCCTGAGTTTATATTCCTTTTAAATCTCTGATTATGGGTCATTGCTTATTTTTATAACTAACAAATGTAGAATTTCTGAGTGATGATAACAAAGAAAAAAAAAATCATCTGCTACCAAAAGGGGGAGAATAAGAGAAGGAAAAAGAAAAAGTCACGAGAAAAGAACTCAGACATGCTGAAGGTGAAGTTCATGGGAATCCTCTGTTCCCCGAGAACCTGATGATTCTTGTGTACAGGTATCTTCTCCCCCCACTCTCTGGCTCTCTGCTTGTTTGCTGTGTCTGCTGTCCCTCTACTTCCTATTACTCAAATTATAGATTCCCCCAACGGCTTCTCATTTTTATTTACTTTTGATCTTTACCTTTGCAGTGCTGGGGATTGAACCCAGCGTGTGGTGCAGTCTAGGCAAGTGCTCTTCCACTGAGCCACAACCCTAGTCATCATTTTTGTGTTTTGGTGGACAAGAAAATAGTGATTATTAGTTTTCAAACCTTCACCTGCACATGACTCATAGCTTCAGCCTTTAGTCACAGGTATGCAGAGTCTTGAGTCTCTACAGTGAACACATGAATGCTTCGCAATTATCACTGGTGTGAGTTGGCTTTTTAAAAAAGTAACTATACTTCAATAGGATTTTTTCTGGAGTATTTTTCCCACAAGATTAAATGAGATTTAAAGAAGAATTTCCTCTTAAAGCAAATTAAATCAATTGCCTTAATAATACCCATTGACCAAATTATACTCATTAAGGAAAAAATATTATCTTGTTGGTTTTCTTCTTCTAATAATAGTTGTTGTTGGTATTTGGTTAAGAAGGACATAACTTTCCTATGTTCATATAGGAATACACTACCAGTGAGTCTCCACGTCATGTACAAGAATGGGATCCTAATTGGATTAAGTTATACTCCATGTATGAATAATATGTCAAAATACACCCTACTGTCATGTGTATCTAAAAATAACAAGTTAAAAATTCAAAAAAGAAGAATTTGTTTTAATTGTAGATATCAAATATGTGCTTTTAAATATTTCTTCTCATCAGTTAATCAATGTTTTTTAATGTATTTCAGGTAAAAGAAAACCCAGCTTTGTCAAAATAGGTTTACATTATAAAGTGATTCTGTTGTACATCTGTTTTTATTCTTGTTAAGGAATGAATTCAACTGCACAAATCCAGTGCTTTTTGTGTATTAAACATGTTAGTTGAAGAATTTCACTTGGTTCTATAAAGATAAGCATCTCCAGTGGATGACAAATCCAAATAGAAGTTTTAGCCAATTGGCCTGTCACCCAATTCAGTTCTCCCATCTTCCTCTGGCTTGCAAAACACCTGCTTTTAGGGGAGAAAGCGAGTCAACATAATATTTGGCTTAAGTCATTATTAATCTAATTTATACTCATTTTTTAAGCTAAAATACATTAATGTATTCTGAATAAACCCCACAGAAGACCAAACACTAACCATATCTTTATGGTACCAGAAAAATGCACCTTTTGCTTAGAGTTAGCATCTTCCCAGACAAATTTTGTTCCTGGCTCTATTACTTCCACAATTTGTCCTTATTAATAAGGACATTTCTAAAAATAATATCTGTGCCTGGATATTTGAGGCAGTGTGTGGTCTCTTGCCAAAGTTCCAAGTTTACAACTCCATTGGATAATTTTCTGGTTTCTATTATGCAATAGAAAAATGCAGATGATAATTTGAGCTGAAGTCTGTTTATACAGTAACTTTTATAATGTATATCTAAAGATGGAGGAACAAGTTTTATAAGGCTAGCATTTCTTGTCAAGCCCCACCCCCCTCCACCCTATTTAATCAAGTTTGACTCTTATGATGAATAAAGAACAAAGAGACCTATATTTAAAGATTTCATTATATGATGCATCTTGTCCTTACTAAATGGGAAGATAAAGACCTTAGCAGAGAATCTGAATTAGAGGGTGGTATGTACACATTCAGTTTTGGGGGGTGGGTGGGAGAATGGGAAACGTGTTTTTAAACAGTACATAGTACTTTCTTAGTCTAAATTCAGGATACTTCCCTAAGACAATTAGACTCATACAAAAAAGTACTTATTAATTAGTGAAGTTTAATATTCTGCACAATACAAACCAGACTTCTTTTAATGGATAAAGAAGTGGAGGTGACTTCTGAATCTTAGAGTAGAAACTTCCTGTGATTGACTGGATACAAGCACGTGGACATGTATTCTCACACTTGAGTCTTAGAATAATTTCGGTAGTGGACACCATATCGCCTCTAGGTTAGAGAGAAGGAAAGGGAGGCCCAGAGCTGTCCAGCAGTTTGCTCTGCACCCTCCAGGGAGTAAGTGACCGACTAACTCAAGGATGAGCCTTGGGGACACCCAGCACCCTCCCGCTTGAATTTAGATATTCTGTGTTTCATTTGAGTATCTAATTAAAGATCCTTTAATTTATGTTTTAGGAAGGACCACCTTGAAACTCATTATTAAAATCTGATTTCTAGCAGCTCTACTTGGACAATTTTATTGAGTGGCCTGGGTAAAAACACAAAACCCAGACAAAACATCTCACCCACCAAGAACCTTGACCTTTGGGGCACAGGTGAGAGGTGATACAGCTCTATCTGGGCTGTGTGATTTACACTTGTACATGTGAGCTCCAAAGACCTCCTGGAGCAATCGGCTGAGGTAGAAATTAAGTCCAGCTGAGGTTTATTTGCACTTAGCATGGAGAGGAGGAGGGCAGATCAAGGTGGCAACTTGGGAAAGCCAAGTTAGTGATATGAAAACATCATCCAGCAGTTTCCCTGTAAAGTCCTTGAAATAATGTTAATTCTGTCCTCTTGCTTTTAATAGGGCATAATGACTACATGTGTCCAGCTACCAACCAGTGCACGATTGATAAAAACAGGAGGAAGAGCTGCCAGGCCTGCCGGCTCCGCAAATGCTATGAAGTTGGGATGATGAAAGGTGGTAGGTACCCTGCTGTGGTGCCCGTTCTGGGCGAACTTGCCTACTGTCCAGGGCTGGCGACTTCTATTTGCATAGCCACTAGGAGTTTAGTGTGTTTAATTCATTTTTTTCCTATTTCTCTTTTCAACAAAAGCATTTTATTTCAAAGCAATTGAAAGTGGCTGGAACTAGAAATTCTAACATGCCATTTTGTGTTTCATATTTGCAATGTAAATAATTGTCTTTTAAATCAAAGGTGTGTGGGAGGAGTAGTGGAAGGAAAAGAAGACTGCTCAATGAATTATTCTGGAAATATTTTTTCAGTTACCGATTCTATTGCTATTGCTAGAAAACGATATCTAGAGATAAACTTCCCCCTCGATTCACACTTGTACATGTGAGCACTAAATACTAATTTATAATGGTGCGATGTTTTGATGTACCTTAGGGGATTTGAATTTCAGTCAGAGGGATTGTTCACCTTTGGAACTTGAGTCAAGGAGCACATTTTATAATCTCAGTGCTGGGACGGTTAAATGCCCACTGAGCACTAACGAATTCCCGAGCTCTCAGGATTCTTGCCCATGTGATTATCTTTCCCGTGTGGCTGCTCAAGTATGCACATGTGGTTTCCCCGTGCCTCGTGCTCAGTCCTCCAGTTTTCTTGTATGGGAATCTGGAGTCCACTTCTGGGGGGTGTTCGATGCTCCTATTTAAGATCCCCTTGTATTCTAGGGAATGTCCTCTTGAAGAACATTGCTTCTGGTTTTGGATAGCCTTCAAACATAGTTGGGGAGAACAAATAGGCGCTGTGTAATTAAGTCCTGGATGCTTTCCGTGTTCCACAGTGATACAGGAGGCAGGGAGGGGGTCAATGACTGTGCGGTCTACTGTCTTCCCTGGGGAACAACTTTTGGAAGCAGGCGAGGTTCAGGATGAGCTGAGGAGAACACAGTTACAATGAAGAAGAACAGTGATTTTGCAGATAGAAGGTAGCTAATTTTTAATTCACTCACACCTGGATGAAGGGAAAGGAGAGGGAACCCTAAAGTAAGAATGGAGGTGAGGATAAAGGCACACTTGGTCATTATCGACTTACAACAAAAAAGCCTTTTTTCCATGGTCAGATTGTGATTTTGAATACAGCATTCAGAATACATTTTCTCAGTGAGCAGATGAAATGTTGAATTTAAGCAGTGTTATGAGATGTGACTATATGTCTTGAAAGTCTGAAAAATCAGCTTTAATTCAAAGGGTAATTAATTCTAAGAATTGAATAGCCGCATTCAGAAAATGACACTTTGAGTCATAAATGGATTAAATATTTAAGGAATTAATTTTTCTTTGTACCATTGGAAAATTAGTCATACTTAATTAAGCCCACAAAAAGCTTCTTAAGGTAACTTGATAAATGACAAAAGATAATGGCTATATAAGAAAAGTTTAATTTGAAACAGAAGAGTCCAAATGTAATATTCTTTGGCGGTTGTAGGTAAGATAAGCCCAAGATTTTTTTATTGTCTCTAGAAGCTGAAATAATAAACTTGTGAATAGGTCCTAAACATTTTTTGTTTATAAATTTGAAGGTATCCATACGTTGACTTCACTTCTTGAAAACAATTTTTTTTTCTAATTAATATTCAGATACAATCTGGCTACAAAAACATAAATTATTCATCCTCATTTTTAATCTCGCAAAAATTCCAATTTGTAAAGTCATAATAAAATATTTCTCACTGTTTTCAAATAGAAATCTAAATAATTTGATGCTACCTGGACAGTCAGCATGCATATACTTGTACAGGTATACTTATGACCATAAAATATGTACCTGTGTAGTTTTCTGGAGTTGCCATAGCAAAAATAAACTAGTTGGTTCAAATGATAAAAAGTAATTTTCTCACATTATTGGAGGCAAGAAGTCTAAGGTCAAGTTGCTAGAAAAATTTGTTCCTGGTGTTGGCCTTTCTTGCAGGCTGTGGATGCCCTCACTCACATGGCCATCTCTCTGCCACTCACTCCTGGTGTATTTTCCTTTTGTAGAAGGATGTCAGTCTCATTGGATTTGGGACTAACCCTTATGACTTTACATAACCCTAATTATCTCCATAAAGACCCTATCCCAAAGATAGTCGGATTGGGGCTACAGCCTCAATACCTAAATCTGGGGGGACACAATTCAGTCATAACAGGCTACCATGACAAAACACCCTGGACCTAGTGGCTGCAATGACGGAAGTTCATCTTCCCACAGCTCTGGAGGCTGCATGTCTGAGGTCTGAGTGCTGGTGGTTTGGTTCCTCTGGAGGCCTCTCTCCTTGGCTGGCAGATTGCCACCTTTCTGTCCCCACATGACATTTCCTCTGCCCACGCACTCCTGCTGTCTCTTCTCCTCAGGAAGACATGGGGCCTATGAACTAGCACCCTACCTGTTACGACCTTGTTTAATCTTAACTGCCTTTTTAGAGACTTCATCTCCAAACTCAGTCCCATTCCAAGGTCCTAGGAGTTAGTGAGGGTTTCAAAATATGAATTTGCAAGTACATAATTCATTATGTAACAATATCCCATTGGGATTACTCAACGATTGTTCAGTACTTATCCACATATAATGAAAATGTGTCCTTCTGGAAGTTTATATATATATATATACACACACACATACACATACATGAGTTTTGAATCAAGTTTTACCATAAAACTGTAGGCTGCAAGAATATCACATTTTAATTACATGTATAAAGTACTTTTTATAGCTGGGATTGTGGCTCAGCGGTGGAGCGATAGCCTAGCACGGGCGGGACCTGGGTTCGATCCTCAGTACCACATAAATATAAAGGCATGGTGTTGTGTCCATCTACACCTAAAATTTTTTTAAAAAATTAAAAATAAAGTACTTTCCATAAAGCAATATAATTTATTGTTTTTTTATAATATGGGATATTATAAAATATATCCTCATAGCACATATCACCTCATGGCACCTTATATAACAACTCCTTGGAAATCCCAATGAATAAAGACTTAATTTACAACTGGAAGTACAGTAATAACTAACTATAAAATTTGCAGTTGTAAAAAACAGCTGCGACTAAATAAATCTTTACAACATTTTCCAACTGGTTTCATTAACAATCCAGTTTCTTTTTTTTTTTTTTTAAAGAGAGAGTGAGAGAGAGGGAGAGAGAGAGAATTTTTTTTTAATATTTAATTTTTAGTTCTCGGTGGACACAACATCTTTGTTGGTATGTGGTGCTGAGGGGCCGCACGCATGCCAGGCGAGCGCGCTACCGCCCGAGCCACATCCCCAGCCCCAACAATCCAGTTTCTTAACCAGGCTAGTCACCAATTAGAATAGTAAATCTCTATTTATTTTTATGTGATGCTGAGGATCAAACCTAGTGCCTCACATATGCTAGGCGAGCACTGTACTACTGAGCTACAACAGAATAGTAAATCTCTATATATGAAATAAAAATTCTGGCTTTAATAGCAAGGCTGAATACATTTGTGAAGATGTATTCTAAAGATCTAAGAGAGCAGGATTTATCCACGTTAAAAAAAATTTTAATCAATTTGTTGATTGCCTACTGTCCTCCCTGCCTAAATCTCATGATTAGATTTGCTTCTGAGTTATGATATCAATGAGATGAGGGATTTAAGATATGCCTCAGGGGATGTTTTTCCATCTAAGTGTATTTTTTTCTTCTTCATCCACCTCGTTTCCCTTCAGCCCTAAGAATGCAGATTAAATAGTTCAGGAATTTGTCTTTCTGGAAAATTAGTTCCTGTTCCTTTGCCTTGGGTTGGATCCTGCATTCTAGCTTCCACAGCGAATGTCTCTGAGATTCCATCTCTGTTGTTGTTGTTCAGAGTGTGTCTTCTCTAGTTCATAAACTCTGTGAGGCAGTCTGGAGTTATTTCTGTCCTGTTGACTGATCTAGTATTGAACAAGTCACACAGTAGGTGTTTAATAAAAATAATTTGCAAAAGTGAATTGACTTAATTCATTGAAGTAGTATCTGTTCCAGGTGTCTTACATGCAAGTTGTTGTGGATAAAGTGAATATGAATAAGCCTAGTCTCTTCCATCAGTATCCTCATAGTACAAAGAAGACACATTGCAAAGGTGCATTTGAAGTGGTAAATAGAAATCCAGAAAATTTGAGACTTGACAAGCTTGGAAGATGGCTCAAAGAATGAAGAGTCAGAATGGATGTCCAGAGTTTAGCCAGCCTCTCCTGGGTTTAGCCCAACCCAGAACATTACTCAGCCCATCTGACTTTCAAAGTATACATTGCTACCCATGAATTTGACAAGAAAAGGGAAGACTTCAATACTGACCCCTCCCCAGACTAGCTGAGCAACCCCATTAAAATCATTTTTATGAGCTTCACTGCTCTTGGATGTAGGATGAAATAATTTCTATTCAACCAGTTTGTCATGAAGATCACAAATAATAACACAGGAAAATACTTTATAAATTTAAAGTTACCATAGAAGCATTAGCTATTTTATCTTTTCTGTCAAAAATAATTCTTATCTTACTAAGGAACATCATGTCTAATAGATGCTACTTTTTTTTTTCAATTGGAAGAAAGACACAATTTCATTACTTCCACTAGGTAAAATTGCTTAATTCCTTTTTGAAGAATAAAAACCTAGGCTCAGACACATATGCTTTTTTAAAGTCATTTTTATGTCATACACTGGATATAGCTGCACGATGAGGGAGATTTATTATCATTTTATGATGCCAGAGATTTACACAGGTTCATTAATGTTCTTTCCCTACAATAGACACAGAGGCAAGTTGCTGGCAAGGTTCTCTTTTCTGTAGTCCAGGAAGTTGGATGAAGAGGTTAATTGATGTGCAGGACTTTTGCACTAACTATCCTGGTTTTATTTCATCACAACATATTAAAAGAAATTTAAGACAAAGTAGTAGTTGTCAACTCATCTTTATTTTGATGACAATGTTGCAATCTAATGTTTAGGACTATTTCAAAACAATAAAAAAAC